CGTTGGGTTTCACTGAATTAGATTTCGACCGTTATACATCTTCGATTGGATTACACAAGCAGCTTTTATCGACCTTCTTGCGTAAAAACAGGGAAAGACAATTTAATGCTAAATCCGTGGCGTTAATTGTCTAGACGGATGACCTTGACAATGTACAAAAATTACGTATTCAGTATTAATTGTTCGATCGAGGCAATCCTGAGAGAATAACTTGCATATTAGTTGAAGAACACGCTTTTTTAATTTATTCACGGGTAAATATGAATTTAAACAAAAAAAAAAATCATATTGTATCGCGATGTACACGCTATTGTTTTAAGGTTAGTTCGAAATAACGTCCACGGTCATTCAACGGCTTTACCTATCGATGGTTAATTAATCCGTTATTTAACAGTCACGAACCTATTAGTCCCATCAACAAGTTAACCCGAGTAACGTAACAATTATTTTCTTAATTCTTAAAAGAAAATTATTCACCATCTCACTTGATGGATAGAGTCATAAAAAATGCTATTAATACGCTGTCGAGTAGAAGAAGAGTGTTAGAAAACTGAACCAGATACTTCACTTGACGAAACACGAGGAATAAGTCAATGAGCATATCCGCAACATCCATTGTAGCGTATACGTGAAATATGGTCAAGTCACAGTAACGTCCGATTGAAGTCGAATAAATTCTAGGCACTACTGAATAGGACCGAGAAACATACAGCTTCCCGCGGTTATGTTGGGCTGCTGGCCAATAAACGACTTGGTATCCCGCCCAATGTCGACTTCGAATCTTCGTCGATTCGGTTAATAATTCTCGTCCAACGTGAAGACGCTGCTTCGGTCACGAGACAGATTATTTTGAATCCTGTGCGAGAACGGGGGTAGGGGGGGGGGAAGTCCTAGGTACGTTGATTCTTATGCGGACACTGTAATGTATTTTGATTCTCAGAAAAAATCGCCTTTAGTTCGAAGTAGTAGACATGCTAATGGTCGAACGTGACAAGTGGGTGAAACATTATGAAAAGTCGACTTACTGTTTAGGAACAAAATTAATAAGAAAGTTAAAAAGCTAACGTCACAATTTGTACGTTAATTCTTACGAATGTCCCGTCTGGCTTACTATAACTGACCATTGGTACCAACCTAGGAGAAAAATTTTTATTTTTCAATTAACATTATTACCATAAAAATGTATCATTTGAGAATGTAACTTTGCCGGTGTTAAATGGAATTCGTATTTCTGATTGTTCGGATACACTAAAACGTCCAATTAAAACGATACATTGATTAGATGAACGAAGAAATGATATGTTTAATGTGAAGGTGTTTGAAATTCCCGCGAATCTGTGAATTGCAGTTACTGTAACTTCAAGCGCGATTTCCGAAGGGTGTTTTATTTATGAAGTAATGAATACTTGTCGCTTCACTTGCAAGGTGGTAGTTTTTTTTATCTCTCTGTGATGGAAAAAACTAGGTTAATGAAGCTAAATACAATTTCATTCTGTTTTATTACCAGTTGCAAACATGAACACGTTGCGATAAGACGAACAGAGAATTGTATTAGTCCTTTAAACAATCCATTACCCGTGGCAAGATACGAATGGGAATAATAACGATTGAAAATTATGAGGAAATCGATATCGGGAGTCGAGTGTCAGATAACAATCGTCCGGTCACCGGTTGGAAGTACAGTGCAGGGCTCGACTAAATAGTACTAATATTTACTTAGGATAGTTATAATTTCTCAATCGCCAATTACTTAAATAAAAATGAATAAAAATTACTATATTACATAGTCGACTTGTGGATGCACCAGTAAATTAATAGTATATAAACATTGACCTTTTTCAATTCT